AAAAAAAAAAAAAAAAAATTATATGAGAGCTGTCTGCAGTTTTTCTGTCAGTTATGAGATGAATTCCTATCAGTGTTTTGCAGATGGGAACTTGAAGTTAGACAGTCTTGTTCCTGTAGTTTCTTAGCTAGTGTGGTATACAGGTGGGGTCAAAGGGTCCTGCTCTATTGTTAGAGGCTCCAAGGTTGTGTAAGGAGTACCGTTTGTAAACAGAAAAAAGAGAGCCATAGCTAAGTAGTTTTAAGATGAGCATAGGTGAAGGGAAGGGGAGAGCGTAGAGGAGAGATAAAGGAGGATGTAATGCTTATGGATGGAGAAGCACATAGATTTACTAGAAAATTGTGGGAATGGGGATATTTCTCAAGCAGCCAGGTAAGAAGTAGAAGGAAATGTTGGGATAAAGGGAGATTTTCAAGAGGAAGATGCAAGGAGTTCTTCATCCTGGAAAGATTTTGAGTCAGAGTCTTGCTGTGTTGCTCAGCCTTGCTGCTTGGTCTATAACTATGGTTTTTTTTTTTATGATTATACTTCTTTTTTTTATTATTATTACATTTATTTATTGTGTGTGTGTGTGTGTGTGTGTGGCCAGCTCAGCCCACCAGGGTGCGGGGCTGGCTGGCATGTGGTGCTGGAGGATCGAACCGAGGTCCCTATGCTTTAGCCAAGCTTGTTTCAAGTAGGTGCTTTAGACCACTGAGCCATCTCTCCAGCCCATATAACTATGGTTTTTACTCTGAAAGTAAGAATAAAGTCATTTCTGGGAGAAAGGAATAATGAGATCAAAACAAGATGAGAGGTTTGGAAGGTAAAATATTTGAAAAGGCAACTTCGGGTTGTATACTCGGGAAGCACAAAGGATTAGTTAGGATAACAAATCTCAAACTTATTTAGCAAGAAAGACCATACCTGACATTTATAGTACTCCTTGTGAAATATTTATATATTTTTTGATATGATACATTTAAAGTAAGAAAGTATATCATTTTGGGTAGTAGGTTGAAATTGAGATAGGGACAGTGGTAAACTCCAAAGGTTTAAGAAAAGAGTATGTAGGGAAAAGTAGGTTGAGCAAATTGTTACTTTAATTTAAAATTTAGTATTTAAGTCAAGGACTTGCTCTGTAGTTCAGGCTGGCTTTGAGTTCTCTTTGTAGCCCAGGCTGGTCTCAAACTCCCAATGATCCTCCTGCTTCAGCCTCCTGAGTTGCTGGGATTACAGGTGTCTACCACCATGGGTGTGTGCTACCACGCCCCGCTGCCTGTTTTTTGAGTAGTGGGGTCACAAGTATGTGTCACCCACCATACCTGGCTCAGTGTTATTAATGCTCATGTTTTTGTGTGGTACATCTATCACTTTCTAATTAGAGCATTAAACCATTCATTTCTAAAAGTCACAGAATGAAAGCTGGGAGATGTTTAATATGACCTCTGAGGTATAACTTCAAAACATGTTTTTTCTTCTAGTTTTATAGTTCTCTATAATCAGTACCCAGTTTTCAATATAACCTTTTAAAAATGGCTATAATACTTGTAGTTGTAGTAAGACCAAGAATATTATGTACAAGCTAGACTTGGTAGGGTATGGTTATAATCCCAGCCCCCATGATTATAAGGCAGGAGTTTCCTGGACTGTGTAGTAACATTTTGTCGCAAAAAAATAAAAGGAGTATTTTTCAGATTTCTTTTCTACTACATATCTGAGAGATTCTAGTCCACCCAACTATGTAGTAAGTTCAAAGTATTAGTCTTAATGTGACATAGAATTAAGAATCAGATTTTGGTTATGATACTTAATAACTTGGTGATCTTGGGTATGCAACAATTACTGAATCTCAATTTCTCTGTAAATAAGTTTCTGGGATCAAATGAGGCAATGTAGTAACAGTTGATCTAGTAACTGAGATGACTAGTAAGTGACAGGCTAAGACAAGCACATACAGTGATGGGTGTTCTCAACATAGGAAGTGGTTCAGATCCTCAGGTGAACTGAACGGCAGGGCAGCAGGTATCATCACAGTGCTCAGGAGGATGCACAAATTAAAAGTTATGAATTGTTTCTGGCATTTCCCACTTCACATGTTTAGATCACAATTCACTTTGGGTAAATGAAGCTATAGGAAAGTGGAACGTAGAATAAAGCAAGGACTATTGTATCTTCCCTGTAATGTTTCAAGGATGTGTGAAATTACCTTCTTTTTCCTTCTGTTTGTTCCTTTTTTGTACATCTAGCTATATATGTGTGTATCTAAAATGTCTTGTGACGCTGAGTATTAATAAATATTATTACTAAATGCCTCTCCCTTTTTCATGTGGTAGTCCCTAGGAATTGAGGGATAAATAAGATGAGGCCGTGCTATGTTGTTCTGGTTGGCCTAGAACTCTTGAGCCTAAAACTGATCTGCCGTAGCCTGGGGGTCTGTGGGATTACAGGTACACACTATACCGCATCTAATTTTCAAGAAGAAATTAAAATTTTTGGTTTTAGCAACTGCAGTAAATATCATCTTGCCACTTAATGTATTGACTTAATGATTTTACTGTTTGTTTGATAATATTCAAGTATGTGAGCTGTGTATGGTAGTGTCACACATCTTTAATCCCAGCACTTGACAGGCTGACAGTATGAGGCTTGCCGTGAGTTCAAAGGCCAGCCTGAAGTACATAGTGAGACCTGCCTCAAAAAATAAAACAATATTCAACTGCATGGTTAATGCTGACTTTTAGATTGCATTTCATTATGTCTGCATTCTTTTTTGTTTGGTTGGTTGTGTGTCTTTTGAGACAGGGTCTGGCTGTGCATTTCAGGCTGGCCTTGAGCTCACTTCATAGTCCAGATCGGGCTCAAACTCACAATGATCCTCCTGCCTCAGCCTCCCAAGTGCTAGGATTAAAGGTGTGCACCACCACACCCGGCTTATGTCTGTATTCTATAAATGGAATATCATTCTTTGGTACACTAATGTTATAGTCACACCTGTACTTTTTAATAGATTAAGTATATGTGATTTTGGATGAATAAATTTAAGAACATTTTGTTAGAACTAGCATACTGTATGTATAATTATGCATGTGTATGTGCATTTGAAGGATAACAAATGATCCATAAACAACCTAGGTGATCTAGAGTTAATTTGTACATGCAGCTGTATTTACTAGAATTGTTTGCTAATGTGCTCTCTGTTCATGGTAGTTACCAGACATAAAAAGTAAGGAGATACCTTGTAAAAACAGATTTGTCTTGTGGAACTAGAGAAGATGATGGGAGTAATTCCCAAGTGGAAAGACAAAAAAAATATTTTCTTCTGGATGTAGTTAACTATTTACCTTAATTTAGTGCTAAAGCTGTTTTTAAAAAATTTAAAGAATTTAACACAAGAGGGTGCTGTACTATTAGGAAGAATCTGAACTGCCGTTAACTATTATACTAATTCACTTGAGCTAGATATCTCAGTAGTTAATTTTCCTTCTGTGTACATCTCTGCTTTACTATACGGCCTGAAATTAGAATGACTAATGTTCCATAATTGATATAATTTATGATAAATATTAATTTAATGTATTTGGTTACCATTTTTTCTTCATTAAGATTCCTTGATATGGTTAAATTATTATTTCCCTTCCTTATGTTGGTTAGAATGAAAAGGATTTATTCTATCACCTACCCAAAAATGTTTCTAAAACTAATAATAAAGAGATGATAGAATAAATGCTATTTCCAAATTGAAAGGCTGTATAACCAGTCTTTTCCCCTTTTCTTTAGGTAGTTCTTAATAAATAAAAAAATAACCAGATCATGTAATAGGACTATATATTTGAATATATATATATAGACTACCTGGTTCTAAAGAGTATTATTTGCAGAAAAAATGTTACATCAAAATGAAATTTTAAAAATCTGAGCAGATTGTACAAGTTTGTTTTGGTAAGATAGAAAAGTCTTGCCTTTTGGTTAATGAGTATATTATTGAAAGAGGAGTTTCATTGGGTATGGTGATGCACACCTATAATCCCAACACTGGGGAGGCTGAGACAGGAGGATCGCTATGAGTCCAAGTCTGAGCTGCATAGGGAGACTCTGTACCAATTAAATAAGTAAAAGATGGGTGAAAGAAAGAAGGGAGTTTCATAAATTCCAAACTTGACTGTTTTCTAATTTTTTCTGACTTAATAGTGATTTTAGAGGTAAAATTATTTGATCCTTTATCTTACAGGGTTGCTTTCATTTTTTTTTTTTTTGTTGTTGTTGTTGTTGTTGTTTTGTAAATTTGATTCAATTTTATAATGCTGAGGAATTTAGATGGTATCTGAACTAAGTCAAATCAGACACAAGCCTATTTTGGAATAAAAGTCAATAATAAATTATTTCCTTTAAAAAATGCAATAGGAAAAAAGTTATATCACATACAGGTACAAATTCTCTGAATGTGATCATTATGTATATCTAAAATGTACCAATAAAATCTGATTAAAAATAAAATAATTGTTAGATAAGTATGTACTGTTACAAAAATGTTGGCAACCTTAATGGATTCTGACTCAAACCTCATCAGAGATTTTATTTTCTAAACTTTAAATGTTTATTATGATACTTCATAAAATAGTAGTTCCTTAGAAAATTAAGCAAAGATTTGTTTCATTGTTGCTTCCCAACACATGCAAAGAAAAAGAAAACATTCTCATTCACTGAATATGTTAGCAATGCTTTCCTGCTGAGTTGTCTCCTCAGCCTTTTTTTAAACATTTATTTTGAGATACGGACTTACTAAATTGTATGGATTGGCCTTGAAATTGGAATCTTCCTGTGTTAACCTCCCGAGTAGCTGTAATTACTATGGAAGAATGGGCCACGATGCCTGGCACATTTTCTTGTCTTATGGGTAGAAGAATTTTTGTTCAGGTTTTCTCATTAAATCATTACTACTTTTGTTTTTTAACTCTCAAGGCACCACCTTCCATGGTCAATAATGAACAACGACAGCACGCAGAACATATATTCTTATCATTTAGAAAATCAAAATCACCCTTTGCAGTTTGCAAGCATATTTTGGGTAAGTATTCACTTTACAGATATTTTGGCATAGACAGATCTGCTTTTGCTATCTTCAACATTAGCTATTTTAAATTCTTTTTAAAATAAGTAGATATGTAGTAATTTTCCATAAATACTAATTCTGTTATAGTGGTTTTAAAGATATTCTTATGAAACCAGGAAGAAAATTTTGTTTTTACTGTGTAGTTTTCCCCTTACATACATACTGTTCAATAATTTGTTTTGTTATTAACCATAACGTGAAGACTGTTAATAGTATGCGTGCCTGGGGGGGATGGAGATCTAGTGGGTTTTTAAACTTATTTTCAAATGTCTTACCATTGATTACTGGAAATGTACTGTATTTCTTATGTTAAGTTAAAAATTAAGTAGGTTTTGGAGGGTTGATATTTTCTTTCTTTTAGTTGTTTTCCACAGTGGTTTGTTTTTTTTAATTTTAAATTTGTACTCGGCCTGCTCAATAGTCACTTCTGGATATGTTTATATATATATATATATATATATATATAATAAACCACTGACTTTTACTTTTGTCACATATATTTTCTAAATTCCTTATTTTGACTTAATATATGGAAATAATTTCTTCTAAAATAATGGCAAGGATTATAACTTTTGTCTAAAGATGGCATTTTCTAAAAGTTGTATGTGATTTGCCATCTGTGTCTTCATCCAGTGATAGCAAGGGAGATTTGATAGCTTATTATTATTATTTTATAACTTGTTTACTGATGGCTGTTTTTTGTAACTGAAGCCATTTTTTATATAATCCATACCTAAGCCTTATGGCTTTGAAGGCTGAGTCATCTATGACCACAACATTCATCAGTTGAGTACTAGGAACTAAAACACCCGACTTGTTATTCTTATGTTTTTTGTATGCTTCCCTATTATTACCCCGGAGTAATCTGGTTTCCAGATAGAAGTAAACTGCAATTACGGTTGTATGTTAAAAATGCTTCATATAGTGAGAGCTATTAGGTTGCTAGTAGTGGGAAGATTGCTGGTGTAGGAGCTGTGAGATCTGGTTGTCAGGGGTGCTTGCTACATATTGTGAACTTAAGGAAGTCAACCTCTCTGGGCCTCTTTTTCATCTGCTGTATGTAAATAATAATCCCACTTGGCTAAATGGACCTGGCTATCTTAAGTTGTGAGGTGCACATATACTAACATGTATTAAAGCACTTTGTGGATAATAAGGTAAATGTCATGGTCTTATTAAAATAGCTTTTAAAAATATGGCCAGTTTTCTGTGTGTAAGGAGCTAGAGCTGGTGAAGTTGACTCTCTTTCAGGAGTTAGATCTCATTTATTGTTAGAGCAAAGTTTTGACAACTACCTTTTCACTTCTTGATAAGGCCATTTTAATTAATTTGCTTAGAAGCTATCCATATTTATACTTAGGTGGACTTGTTTCTGTTACTAAGAAAATTGTTACTTTATGCTTGTGTAGAATATTTAATTCAATGTTAAAAGAAGCAAAGCTAAAACATTCATATGAAGAGATTAAGAACTGTTACCTCATCCTTACTGATTTGCAATTGTTCAGAGTTAATAGATTTAGAAAGCCATGTGTTAAACTGTTAGTAGTAACTTAAAATAATTTGAGTCTGGTTTACACGGCTTCTGCCATACTTTCATTGACAAGGATTCATTCCATCAGTGTTTCATCTTTCTGTTGTAATGCAGTGTCATGCGAGACTGGTAGGAAATGGTTGATCGAAGTTATAAGTATTTTATTTGAGAATATTTGTTTCCTTTCTAGAATATGTATATTTTATGACTTTTTTTTTTTTTTTTTTTTGCAGTTTGAGCTTGTTTTGGATTACTTTTGTTTTCTTGATAAAAATTTCCAAAGAGTAGTATTATGTATTCTGGCTGTGCTTTTAAAATCAGTTTGGGTTTTGAGACATTAACTATTTATAAGGTGGCCTGCATGTATGACAAGCATAATCATTAATGTACTGCAAAACCTGTGTTACATTAATGTTTACATCTAAACTTCACAAAAAATCTTTTTTAACTCCTTACTCAGTTGCCACCAGCACAGAAGGGCAAATTCCTCTAAGAAGACTTCTCATACAAGTGGCAGTCAATCACAATTCAGAATTTTCACATTCTTATTTAGGGATTATATGTCATTTTTATAGAATGTCTGGGAAATATATTCTGATAAAGGGGAGAAGTTCTTTTTGATGCTTCCCTTTTTTGACCTCTTTAAATTATTCTTCTAACTTCAATTTTCTGTGTTTCTCATTTTTCATTTCCCTCTCTTTTTGTTTCCATTCCAGTTTTTATTTTTGTTCTTTTTTCTGTGTGTGTTGTATGTGTCTGTGTATGCATGTTGCATGCTTGTATGTTTTGTCAGAAGAGTACTTTTAGACTAATTCACCTCAGAGGTCTTTGGCCCTTAGGAATTTACTAGTTTCAGAGGGTCAGATATTCTTCAAAAAACTCTGAATTTTGTGCTGCCTGAAGACATAACTAAGAACTGGGAGGGGTTGGTTTAACCCTTGTAGAGCTAATTTCATAGCATTCTTTTTTGCTTTGCAGGAGAAATGAATTTCAAATTCACTTTATAAACCAGTAAAAAGTCAGTTAAACTAGTAAACTTTTATTTCTCTGTATTTGGAGCATTGTTTCTTTAGTATTGGTATTGAGTTTATTTTCTTTGACCTGAGGCTCACTATTGGGTGGTGAGCACAGGTGTCACTAGGCCAAAAGAGCAGGCTTTTTGGAACTTAAATTTCCTGTTTGGACAGAAATCTTTAAGGCCAGAGAGGTAATTACAGTGGCTGAATATTTGTGGCTTGATTTTCTTGTTTTAAAAGTAACTTCTTTGATCAGATTTAGAGTGCTTTTTCTCTCCTATTTCACTGAAACCTTTGCCTAGGTGGTTCTGTCTAGTTTCAGATGGCTGACAAGATACAAATGAAAACTTTTTTTTTTTTTTTTTTACCATAAATCCTTTTTGCTTTTTGAGACAGGGTTTCACCATGTAGTTCAGGCTGATGTCACCATGTTACCCAGGCTGGCCTTGAGCTTTTGGTGATCTTCCTGCTTCAGCTTTCCAAGTGATTGGATTACAGGTGTGGGCAACCATACCCAGCTGCCATAATTACTGTTAAAGAAAATTATTGTGGTAGCAAGTAAAGGCTTTCTGCTAAAATGACTTCAAATGCTTTATCACCTTGGCATTGTCTTCAGTCAGCAGCTGATCTTCCTAAAAGTAGTTAAGAAATTCTAAATGAAAAAGAAAGTTCTAAATGAGTTGTGAGTTCTTCATGAACGCTTTACGGTTATGAGCATCTTTATAGCCAACAGTTAAGGATAAGGTTTATGTATCTGGGAAGTTTGATCTCATACTAGTAAGGCTTCTAGAATTCCTTCTACCTTCTCACACACATTTTTATTATGTATGAAAGCAATCTGTGAAGGTTAATTTCAGGGACAGTTGTTTTTGTTTTTGTTTTTG